CAGCCTGAGATCCATCCAACCTCATGACTCAGAGCCCTTCACCAAGAAAAGGTGTGGAGGTGACCTGGGTTTGGCTACATCTTTAAACAAAGTCTAAGCATGTGTGTTTGCCCCTGGGGCCAAAAGCACAAACTTCATTACTGAGTTTTGGAAAAGAAATTGTACCTGACTTTCTCTTGAAAATCCCCCTTTTGCAGCCTGCACCTTTCAGCACAAGAAAATCCTGGACCCCCCTTGACACCGTTGACCCATTCAGGGCTCCAAAACCAGTATCAAAGTCTGATTAAAGCCATTCAAAAGCTGTTAGCATGTAGATTTTGGTGATAATTTGGTGAATGGACTTGTCAAACAAATTGCCATTATTATGGACTGATTAAATGCAATCAAGGAGAAGTGCCTTTCTCCTCCCAACTCCAGCCCTCATCAGCTCAAACAAACACACTGAGCCAATTAGCAGGGAGGTGGCAAAAGCAGCTTTCACTTGAATCCTGCCATTCTTGGGGAGGGGGGAAATACAACAACAACAACAACAACAACAACAACAACAACAAATCTTTGTGCTTTCAAAGCCAGGAAGAGCCTCCTGGGAGAGATCCCAAAAGTTACCCAGGGCTCACCTGCAGGGTGTGGATGGGAGTTATCAGTATTCATCTGGCTCGATGCCGGATCAGCTCCCTTAAGCAATGTGCTGCTCACATCCAGCTTGTGCCAAATATAATGCAAAGAACATAAATATAAAAGCAGGCCTAGGGGGAATATCACTACTGGGACTGTTATTCCTACAGCTTTATGTCCTGCAGCTGGGTTCTCCTGTGTCAGAAAAGGCATGAGCTCCCATCAAAGCTATTTCCATGCCTAGAAAGCTAAGGTTTTGGCTTAGGTCCCTGCAGTGGATTCTCTGATGTCTGCAAATGGTTGAGCTCACAGCACAGCCTTTTCTGCACTGTAGCGGTAGCGAAGGGATCTGTCTCCGCTAAGATGAAACTCGTAGCAATTGCATAGATCTGATGCCACTATCTTTCTGCCCAACGTGCCTGAAATGAGCTAATGAATGGGAAGGTTACTGGGGAGAATTGGAGCACGGCATCATAATTACAGAAGCCTAATTCCCTGCAGGTATGCAGCTGTAAATTAAATGGTCACCTTGGCTGGCAGTGGGCAGAGCAGAATTCAACATGCGTTTGCATTAATTAACTTCAGAGACAGGAATCCCACGGCTGGAGCTAGACAGCACACAGGATATGAGCAATAGCTGTTGACTAGGCTTTCGACTAAGCTTTCAGTGCCTGCATTTTAAGTTAGCACCAAAGACTAATTTTGGCCCCATTTTCATTAACCCAGTCCCTCTAAGGAGCAAGCTCTGTGCACTGCACAAGAATCACTGCCTCCCAGAGCCTACGCAGAGGAGCTATGGCATAGCTTCCTCCAGCAGCGCAAGCCATTGCGTTGTCTTGGACTCCCACCACAAACAGAAAAGGGCTAAAACAAAGGTGAAGTTTTATCAACCAGAAGGGATTTCAGAGACTTCATTGCTGGAACTGAGAACAGGATTAAGGGGTTATAGCTAAAACACAGAGACTCAGAAAACCAGCCTCTTACCCCACACCTCATCACAGTCTTCAAGTGTCACCTTGGACATAAGGGGTATGTGACACATCATGACACTAGGTCCTGAGCCTTCAAACAGTCCTGAGCACAAGAACTGATCACAGAATGAGATTAGATCGAGAGCTCATACTACAAGCAGCCACAGAGAAAAAAGTCCAGGCCTTCTTAAGAAGTGGCTGCAAAGTGCCACTCTCTCCCCAAGGATCTGCTTCCTACCCCCACACCCTCCTGCAAACATCAACGTTTAAAGAACTATTAAAGAAAACAACTTCAAAACTCTTCACATAGTTCAAATACTTCACTTAAAAGGAATTTTAATTCTTACATCTCAGATTGCACCAGTCCCCAGCAGGACATGCACTCATCATGTTCACGTTGTGGCATTTGAGCTGTTCAAACAGGAGGGATGGAGCCACAGTGTGAGACCATGCACTCAGAGCTTGGGAGACAAGTTGATGGAGATCCCCACCAGCTCTACCTGTGCTTTCCGTGAGTAACCCAGTTCACCATACCTCTGCTTACCCTCTCAGGGTGCCTTCTCATGACCTACATAAAAAAAGAAATCTTGCAGCCAGCAGACACACACCTTGAAGACCCAGCCAGTGGGAGAGTATTGGGAGCAGTGGGAGGTGGGTGGGCGTGCAATTCTTGGTAATGCTTTTGGCCAGTGATGGTGCATAGCTATGGTCTGTGTGTCAGATCTGTGCTGCCTGTGATCTGTTTAGAGATCAAGACTGGCCAGGCCTAAGCTGTTTCTTTCCAGGGCTGGGTCTATGCATTCTGTCTGGCCCATCACGAAAAGGCTGTGACCTGTTACTAACAGCAGCACCTCCCTGGCAGCACCAAGTCAAGCCAAGCCAAGAAGCCGGAGAAGCTTTGTTGCTAAACAAGGTCTATAGGACTGAGTTTAAAAAAGCATTCTTCTCCAAGGAGCATCAGCAGCTCTCTCTGGACAGTACTGTTATTTGCAACCTGGAAAAACCCTTCCATCCCAGTGAGCTGTGTCACCTCCCTCCAGCATGTGGGCAGCAGTCGAACTGCTGCAGAAACCTCATGGGATCACAGCAAACCTTGCATTCCTCAGCACCAATAATCAATACAAATCCACTCATCTCCTTGGGATGCAGACAATTCATGTTTTGGATGCACCACCTCTACCTGGGATGGCATACGGTAAGGTTATAAGGCTCCCCCAAAGACATTCACCTGCTCCTTTCCAGCCATGCCAGAGAAGAAGCCAGAACGCCCCAAAGTATAGAAGAAGTATATAAGTGGCCAGAAACCATTACATCAAATTATGTTAAAAGGCTACCTCTCTTCCATTCCTCATGCCAGCTGACGATTCATATATAGGGGTAAGAGTAGCAAACAAGGCGCTCCATCAGGTTGAAGAGTTATTTGGGCCACTACTCCTTCATAGAGGCACCCGGTGTGTGCCCTCAAGCACTGCAGGGAGACAAATGGGGTCTTTGCAAAACGTATCGAGGAAGCATAAGATGCAGCTACCCAGATCCTGAACTTAAAAAACGGTATTCGAGCTGCTCCACACTGGGTACAGCCCTTTCCTGCAGCAAACCATGTTTCCTGTCCCGCAGGGTACAGTCAGTCCAACAAAACTGGGGCCATTTGCCAAGCCTGCTATCAGAAAACATAGCTTGGATCTAGTGGAAGATTTCAACAGTTGTGGACACACACAGGAGGTTATGCTGTTGGGATTACAGACCCTGCTTCAGAGTACAGCCTTGCCACGCATGTTTACAGGGTTTTAAGCCACCTCTCTTCTCCCAAAGTGTGACAGTACAGCTGGATGTTGCAGAAAACATGATTTTGTAATCAGCAACCTTCTTATCCATTTTTTTTAAAAGGACCACTTCTGCCCACCCTGCCAGCATCGCCAAAGCCTATTGAATTTGCTTCCATTGCTCTGGGTATGTTGCACATACACAGTATGCAGTACCATTGCTCTGTGACACTTTCGCACATTTTAACACTTAGCAATTTAGCATGGCTGACACGAACTTTATCTGTATTTTGGAAGGACCAGTACTCTCCCCATTGCAGCTTTAGCTCCTGTCGTGCCCACTCCATGCACCCCTTCTGCATTAATTTGCTCGCAAGGAGTAGCTCAGAGAAAGCTCAATGCCAAGCAAGAGATAAAAACACAACTAGAAACGGGGAAATGCCTCAGCCCTTTCCATTCAGAGGCAGATCTGCCCTGAATGGCAGCCCCCAGGACTGATCTGCCTCCAAAGGAGACTCAATCACAAGCAAGTCAGCCCCCTTCAATTCGCAGTAAGACTTAGAGCTACTGTATATATTCCACCCCCCACCCCACCCCCCCCAAGCTCCTCCTTTCTAACACAAATCTCTCCCAGCACGCAGACACATGCACTCCCAGGCAGCGAACAGCAGCGTTGTGATGTGTTGAAACCCAAGTCCGGTGAGATTCAACTCTTGAAAATGACACTTTTTCATCAGCAAACTATAACTGGCATCTCTTATCTGCCACTAGAGTTTTGCAACACACAGCTGAAGAATATGACAGACTAGTTCTTCACACTAGGACCCAAAATTAGAATCAATATCCCAAAAGCAAAGTGACCCTCACTAGTCATTCCCGAGCAAACTAATCAACCCTGCTCAACTGTAAAATGAGATCTGTTATATTTTCCCTGATCCACATGCACATCCATAAAGAACAGACACAGAAAAGTCATTTTAAATTGACTGATGCAGCTGTACACAGTTATAAAACTTACATGGGACTCCATACCTTCAAAGTGCTGTATATTTACCTGCTGTCCACAACTCAAAACAAATGCTATGAATGTTTTTAGAGTCAGAAATTATTTAGAAATGAAACACATCTCCTGGCTTGAGTAAACATAGGCTCCGAAAAGAATTCATTCTGTGCATGTAACATCTCCTTTATCTCAGCTCAGGGGACTTTTGCAACTATCAGGAGCTGTATGTTAAGAGGAGGGGAATCTGGCCCTTTACAATATAATTGGGTCTTGCTATGTTAGCTTTAATTTATGCACTAGACCTTCCCAGTCTCTTAACCTAGCTCTTTTCACTCCTCAGAGAAACACAGCATAAAACCTGCTACAAACTTACACTCTGCCTTTCCTCGCTCCCAAAGTTACTCAGACCAACAGCTGAAATAGTTTTGCTGAGGGTTATTGAGAGGCTTTTGACAAACTCAAAATCCTCTTATGGAAGATGCTTTCGATCAGCTTATTTTAAAAAGATTAAAATTACTCCCCACATAACTATCCCAGATCTGCTCATATCCACTTTCCCTGAGCTGCTCCTGAGCACTCTAATAATATTAGACCTCCCATCCACAAGCAGCCGTCCAGCACATGAAGGGATCGGCGCTTCTCCCTTACCTGAGAAGTCTGCAGAAGTCTTAGCAAAGTTGCTGAAAGCTGTCAAGCACACGAGTCCTACGAGGAAGGTGGAGGTGGGAGACACATCTGGGCAGCACATCCTTAAGTATCCTCACGGCTTGTTTTCTTCCAGTGAAAAGGAAAGCGCTTTCTGCCCCAATCCAGCACTCCTCATTGCCCGGAGAACAGCGTTAGTCCCATCGCTTGGAAGGATCACAGCGAGCAGCGGGGAAGGAAAAGCACTGCGCGCACACACACACACTCACACACACACATCCCTGGGAGTGAATGAATCCCGGCTGAGTGGGGCTGGCGAATGAGACAGACCTACCTGAGCCTTGGCGGAGGTCCCAGGGTCCTAAAAGCCATCGCTTCACCCAAAATTGCTTCAGACTATTACTGTGCAGCTGTCCAGCAGCAGCACCGCAAGCTGGCGCGGGGGAGGGGGGGAGGGGAGACACCTGGGGGGCTGGTTTGGAGAAGCCTGGTTGCTGTTGGTTTAGGTGCCGGGGGATCTTGTCTCTCCAGTGCAGACAGACAGAAGGACGGGGAGTATTTTCAAAGGAGGGAGCCCAAAACAAATGCCTGAACTCACAAGGATTTTTCGAGCGACGAATATTTGTAGCTGCTGCTGTGAGCAGCGGTGTCCTGCCAGACTGGTGACAGAAGAATTCAGCTGTGTCCACCATTGAGACTGATCCTACAGGACAGACTGAGAGAGTTGGGGTTGTTCAGCCTGGAGAAGAGAAGTCTCTGGAGAGACCTTATAGCAGCCTTCCAGTACCTAAAGAGGGCCTACAGGAAGGCTGGGGAAGGACTTTTTACAAGGGCATGTAGTGACAGGATGAGGGGGAATGGCTTCAAACTGGAAGAAGGGAGATCTAGATTAGATATGAGGAAGAAATTTTTCACTCTGAGGGTGGTGAGACACTTGAACAGGTTGCCCAGAGAAGTTGTGGTTGCCCTGTCCCTGGAGGTGTTCAAGGCCAGGCTGGATGGGGCTTTGAGCAACCTGGTGTAGTTGGAAGTGTCCCTGCCTGTGGCAGGGGGATTGGAACTAGATGGTCTTTAAGGTCCCTTCCAACCCAAACCATTCTATGATTCCATGATTCTACAATGGAGGAAACTTTGCACAGGCCCAGCGATCAAACCCTCCTGGATCTCATTGCAAGGACTGGGACTGGTGTCAGGCCACTTATCCAAAATCCTCCTTCCTTTTAATAGCAGCCAGTCGTGCCAGACTCCCTCTATCCCACTGCACCCCTGTCCCCTCCATCAAGCTCAACAGAGGATTTTCATGAAGATCATATCCTGAGGTGTTCAGACCCAGGAGACCTGCCTCCTTCCGTAGCAACTGGTTTAACCTCCAACTAGCATGGACTTAGCTGCTGACTCAAGCACTGCTCACCTGGCAGAGTTAAAGGAAGGCTCCAGCTCACCTGGAAGCACATCCAGATCCTGCCTGATATTCATCCACATCCTGGCAGCATCAAGCCAGCCATGCTGACTTGGAAGAGTTGAGCTCTGGGGACGCAGATGTGGCCTGGACTGGTGGACCCGGTTCTCCCTGGGTCCAGGAGATCCTGGACTTTGGTCATCACTGTTAGGTACAGCTTGGGCATAGGCTTTATGTATAAATAATGGACATAACCAGTATACCTAGGCCAAGTGTCCGTGCAGAGAGCAGGGATAGTTTTCATAGGCAAAGCCAACACCAGCCATTTGGCGGCCCGTGTATACACCTACACAAACCTACAGAGCAGTACCATGTGAGGCTGCCAGGGAAGGGGAGATGGAGCCAAGCACACACACAGATGCTGAACAAAGCCACAGCTTCTATCCAGCAAAAATAACCTGAATGGGAACATTCAAAGAAAACCATGACTGGTTTTTACTCCTCTGTCCTGTTCATCCACGTGGAATTAAGCGAAACTTTCCAAAAACATTCACCTTAGACCCAAAAACAAGCGTAAGAGACTTCAGCCCAAAGGGCTCTAGTTTTTTTCAGAGTTGAGTGCACTCATAAAAAATTTCTTGTGATGAAATTTCTAACAATGTGTCAGCTATTCTCAGATGAAAATCAGACTGGCTGTCAGATTATATGTGAAAGACATTTTCAAGAGTGCTGCCATGAAAACCACAGTCATTGTTTCCACCAGAAATCTGTTCTTCGGCGATCTGCATGCTAAAACCAAACCTCAAGGGGAGCTGTAAGTCTGTGGCCCCGTTTGCATTCTGTCCATGCTGCTGCTTCCTCTAGTTGCAACCAGCCACACCAAGGATGAAGGTAGCATGGGAAATCTTGAGTTTGAGCTTGAATCCTGTCAATGACCCATCCACCCAGACCATGTAAACAAGAGGCTGCTCTGGCCTGAATTGCACCTGAGCAACCCTCCTTCCCACAAACAGCTCTTCACACACTGAGGATCTACAGCGAAGGTGCAGAAGAGTCACCCCTCAAAGGACAGTGGTGGCTCCTGGTTGACCTGACAGCACAAACATACCCTGAGGTCCAGCAGGCTCCCTCGTCTCTGCAGACAATCCTGCCGCCTTACCTTTTTGCAGAGGGCTGCCTATGCAAGATCAAAGACCAAGAATTTCTATGGGCTGCTTTACTCTCTATTTCACCTGAGAATTTAATCCCACATGCCAGACCTCTCTGACCCATACTTTCCAGGGTTGACCTAAGTTTTAAAGGGAAAAGATCAGGACGTTTGGCATCTATGTATAATTCTTGTCTCACTTAGTTCTGCTGCCCTTGCCAAGAGGAAGATTCACCACTATTGCCTTATAGGCATGAGATAGCCAAGAGGAAGATTCACCAGCATTGACTTACAGGCATGAGATAACCATACCCATTATCAGTCAAAGCTCCTTATCAGCAGGACAAAGAAATAATAGGGCCCCTGGAAATTTATCATCGCTCTGGAAAAGGGAAGCACTATTTGCTGAAAAGAGCCCACCCTGTTAGCAGGTGTTGATTTTACTGATTAAAGGGTAATTAGGTTTGGCTGACTCAGTATATGGAGAAGAAAAAAACTCTAGTGACAAAGGGTTTAAGGCTAAACATGGGAAGTGTGCTTGAGCTGCCCTTTAGGTTGTTGTTAATAAAGGCAAACCAGAGAGGAGGAAGTTTACATCAGTGTAATGTGAGGGCTTTGTTTTCAAACAAGTTTGTAAAGATGCCTTCCAAAAGGAAAGCAGAAAGCAGCTCTTGCTAAAAAGAAAAAGAAAAAGAAATCAGCCGTTGAGAAACAGACAATTCAGTTAAAGCCCATGTCCATAATGCCCTTATTCCTTAGGGCATGTGGGAACATCAGCTGTGTGTTTCAAACTGAAAGAGGCCACCTGTCCCAACTGCAGCACAGACAAATGACGGTCTCTCTGTCATGGACAGTCTCACGGGGTAAGCATGAATCAAGAGGACACCAATGAAACAACAGCCCTTGAAATCCAGCCATACCTTTAAATATGTCTCCTGGGAATAGGTAATAATGCATATGGTGACACACAATCTCTTGGATCCCTTGTCCACAAAGCCACCCAGAAGCAGGAATAGGCTGGTACTGATGCAGTTCAGCATTACTTCTTAGCGTAGAGGAATAATAGTTTGCTCTCTTTCTCTTCACAGAGTAACTATGGAGAATGACTGCTCTTAGATACGACATTTGGGTATACTTAAACATACTTCCTACATCTAGAAGACACAGACCCTTGTGCCTGAGCTGGGTTTTAATACCTTTCTGATCATGGCAAAAAGCACATGGGGTCTATATGCCCAGCTTAGGAAGCAAAGGAGTCCATAGCACTTAGTTTCATACACAGAGCCTGGGCCAGAGCTCAGCACTACTCAGCTTCCCGTGCAGTAACCACTGCTGTGGTCACTCACCACCGACAAGCAGGCACACCAACCAGTCCCACTTCCAAGGAGACTGGGGTACTTCATCAGCTAGAGCTAATCCAGGAGTTAGTTACCTGAATCCCAAAGTGGCTTTAGTCCGGAATGCTTAACAACTGCACCTCAGTCCTCCTTTTTGACCAAGGTAATTAATTACATTATTCTTTCCCCTCCCATACTCCTCTCTCCTGCAGATCCTCTCCTTCTGCCGCTGCACATAAAACTGTAATATCTGAAAATGCATGTAAATTCCCAAAGTGCTTTAAAAGCAGCTAGGTACAACTGCAACTGGGGAAACTGAGGAGCTGAGAAGTGAAGCAATTTGCCATCCAATTTTGTCATCCCAACATCACACAGTTTATAAATGGTAATCAGGAACAGACCCAGTTAGGATGATTCTCAGTTTAACAGTGTATATGCTGATCTTGCTGCCTTCTAGGGCTGATTTTTGGTAATGCTTTCCTATTTTTCACTGACCCTGCACCACTAACCTCTACCTCACTGACTAAACCATTAACAGCTTGAAGAAGGGCTGCTCACTAGAAGAGCCAGAGCAGGATTAGCTTTTAGCTAGAGAAGCATATGTAGGGTTGAAACCATGTTTGCTTACACAGACACAGGCAGGTTTATTTGTACAAAAGTGCCAGGACTAGTCTCACTTTCTGAACCCTAGTAACATTACTTAATTCTTACTGTGTTTTCCATCAAGTCTCAAAGCACTCTCCAAAAGACCATCATTGCATTCTGCTATTTCACACATGGAGGAAGCACAGTCACAGTTTGAGGTCACTCCTTTTTCAAGGTCAGCCAGAGGAAACTGTCAGAGATGAGAAAAGATTAAATACTTTCAATCTTTAAGTCCAGTTAGAGCTCTTTTCACTTGGCCACATTGCCTCCTTGTAAATGAACATAAATTAATGATAAAGTGTATGTGCATTTATACCTATAGAAATACATCTACACTGGGTGGACAGAGCTTCAAATATAAACCTGCAAAGCTTCCCAGCATAGTACAGCTCTTTGTTCTTCTTTTTTTTGATCTTTCCCCTAAGATTGTCTTATAGAAACAGATGGGGTTACTCATGGAAGTAAGTACTGTTTGCTTTCATCAGTTTGAAGGCACAGGACTTCACATAATGCAGTTTTGCAATACAACACCAAGTATCTCACAAGTAAAATCCTCCCCTGTCTCCATATTCAAT